ATTCGGAGCTCGCCGGAATAAGTCTTCTAGCATCTATCAGTTCGGATGAGGCAGTCGAAATCCAGTGGTTTTTACTCACCTTTGGATTTGCCTTATTCACAGCTTTTACAGCTGTATCTATAGCTGACTGAATATTCTTCCAGGCTTCTCCAGGGTGAGCACAGCTGTCGAACTCAGATATGCGTTTAGCTAGTTCTTCCTCAAATAGGGATTTAGTTTCCTGATCGAGCTGGGGACGTGATGGTTTTACCGCCAGCTGTTTCCTACGTCCGTTCAGTCGTAAGCACACACGAGCCCGGACCAGTGCGTGATCGGTATCTACACACGTGTTCCAGAAGGAGCGACAATCTCCTACCGACCCACGCCAACGATAGCTTATTGCTATGTGGTCTATTTGTGTCCAGCGTTGGTTTGATGATGGGGGTCGCCAGGTTAAACAGTGTCTCTCCTTGTGTTTAAAGTTAGTGCTTACAAGAAACAAATGATTATCTGAACAGAACTGTAGGAGACGGTCACCGTTGTCGGTTCGCTGGCACGGAACTCCATAGGTGCCACCGACATCCTTCTCAGATTGACACAATTTCCCTACTTGAGCATTAAAGTCACCAGCTAGAACGACTATATCTGAGCGTTTAGCCTTTCTCACCAAACTAGACAGCTTTTGGTAGAACTCATCCTTCGTTTCATCCGAACTGCAGTCAGTGGGGGCGTAGGCGGAGATTACGAAAAGGCATCGGCGAGTAGTGCAGTCCTTTCTCCTTCTTACTGATCCGTTCAGACGGACAGCACACATTCGGCTATCTACTGGGATCCAGTCAAGTAATGTCTTTTCTGCCCTAGTACTCAAAGCTATCCCTACGCCAGCTAATCCTCGTGAACTAGCTGTGGCATCTCCTGACACCCTCAAGGTGAATTTTGAAGATTCATCCTGTTGGCCAGGTGGGGTTAGGTGAATAACCACACTTGGGTCTTGTATGCGTGTTTCTGAAACACAACATACATCAATGGCTCGGATGCCAGGGTCTTAGCTAGTGATGCTTGTTGTCCTATTTGGCAAAGTGTCCTAACATTAAATGCTCCTATATGAAATTGGTGGCGTGGCTTTAGGAGACTATCGGTGGTGGTTTTTTGGCTTTCGTCGTTTTTAGTGGACACAGAGTGAAGAGGGAGTGAGGAGCCATCAAGTAGAGGAGTTGCATCAGTGGAAGGAAGGCAAGGTAATAGAGATGAAGACAAAGATAAGTGAGGATTAGAGAGGTTTTGTGTGCATTTCGGATTGTGAGGGCGATTGTTACTTCCCGGCTGCCCACACCGTGGAAGTTGGTTGCGTGACCGCAGAGCCCAGGGGACAACTGCTTGAGGCCGGTCACACGCGGCCTGTTTTTGTTTGTTCTCTTTTGTTTGGTGTGCCTCAGTAGCATACTTATCACTCCTGCCCTGTGACACGGCAGCAGGAAGCGCGGTCGTTGTTAATCCGGGCCACGGCCGATCCGGCATGAAATTTTGTGAATTTGTTTGAATCATGGTATTGGATGGGTAGCTGCTTTTTGTTTAACCGCTATCCAAACAACCTGCCTGGCATGGTAGAACCTCAAGAGACATAAGTCTCAGCCAGTATAGCTTGATTAGGTCATTGCGGTGTTCAAGCCCGACCACCACGTCAAGGTAGCAGCTTTCGGTCGGGGAAAAACTTTATACCCAACATCTGCAGTGGTCATGTGAAAGCTTCAAGACTTACCAGTGATACCAAGAAGATAGAAATGCCCACTATCTCAAGCTGTACAGCTTTAATAACTATCCATCGCTCATATTCTTCACTTGTGAAGAAGAACATAACGGTAGACTACACTTCCTTGGTGTCCAGTTGAGCAGAAGAGAGGATGATTCATTCAAAAGAGATGCCCATGGAAAACCTACGTCTGTAAGACAATACACACATTTCCTCAGTTTTTTACCAATCCGATACTGTCTGTCTGTCTGTTTTCGACATAGAACTTTGCACAAATGTGCGCCAGTTCAAGTCGCCACATTCCGTGTAGCACGCGAAGCAAGAGAAGAAAGTACAAGAAAAGCATAATAGAGACAGTGAGCAGAGGTGTGAGACAAAGGAGTAATAAAGAAAAACAAAACAGTTTCATTGAAGATCATAAGTCAAAGGGAGTGGATGCATCTGCGCCACTGAGAACGATTTTGAGCCATGTCACCAATTGTTTCCAACCATAGATTTTTACCGTCCCGAGGACCCCAGCCTGGAAGTCTACACCTTTCTACGTGGCTAAGACCAACTGTTGTGGATTTCATTGACTGATGCCAAGTTTTTGTTTGACCGCCGCTAGCTTTTTTCCAGCCTGACCCTATATCCGCTAACATAGCTCGTCGAGGGAGGCGATGACTTGGCATACGTAACACATGTCCTAACCATCTCAGTCGATGTAGCTTCACGACTTCGTCGATTGATTTCCCCTGTTTACCTAGAACTCTACGCCTAACCTCCATGTTGCTCACCTTATTATGCCACTTTACACGGGAAATAGAGCGCAGGCACCTATGATCAAAGGCAGCTAGTCTTTTCATGTCTTCCACTCTCAGTGGCCAGGTCTCACAGTCAGCCATAAAGGAGGACGGAGCGGACTGATGAGCAGTACACCCGCCCTTTGGTCGATAGTCGAACATCTCGTCTACGCCAGATCCGGCGTAAACTGGTAAATGCGAGACGAGCCCCCTGTATTCGTGCTGAGATTTCGTCAGAGATCAGCCCGTTGGGGCTGATGGTACTTCCCAAATAAGTGAAGCGGTCAACGTGCTCTACCACTTCACTTCCTATTTTTAAACTAGGCGTCGATGTAGTCCAGTCCTGTAACATCATCTTGCATTTGGCGGGAGCGAATCGCATGCCAAACATTCGTAGATTGCGGCTCAAGGTGTTTAGAAGACTCTGCATTTTGTCAGCGTCTTCGCCTAGAAGGACTATATCGTCTGCATATTCCAAGTCAACGAGAATACTCCCCGGTAGCAAGTCAATTCCTGAGTCGCTGAAGTCACCTAGGGTTAAGTCCATTAACACATCTATGATGAAGTTGAATAGAAAAGGAGATAATGGGCATCCTTGACGGACACCACTGGTCGTCATCAGTTCCGATACAAGATGAATTTGGTCAGATACTTCACGAATAGAGCAAGAAGGGATCTGTACAGATGACTCCCTAGAAAATGACTTAAGATACGTCCAAATGGGTTATCCTAGTAGATTTGTAAGGAGACACATGAATACCAGATACAATAAAGAAAAACTGACGACAGTTAAAAAGAAACAATTGTTCATGAAACTGCAATTTAATGCAGACGTGGCTAGTGAAGTCTTACATCATAGATTGTCAAGAGCGATAAAGCGGCTGCTGGCACCCTCAGTTTGTAATTTTCCAACCGACCAATTTTAACTGCTCAAGTGAAAGATAAGCTGCCTAGCTGTGTCACTTTTATGTGTATCTATAAATTTAGTCGCTCCTGTGGAGAGAGCTGGCTGTATGCGGCGAACAACTAGACAGCTTAACAAACGCATTAATGAGCATCTTCCTTCATGGTTCGGAAAAGGTCAAATAAAATCTATACGAAGTTCTATTTTGGATCACTTGATTGATGATAGTGGTCACCAAGTGGACAAAAATAGTGTCTTCAAAGTTATCTATCGCATTCTATCGAGTCTTTCGAACGGAATCAGAACCCGTCTTTTACACTTGGCCGAAGCTATGGGAATTCGAGAGAACAATCCTAGTCTTTGTACACAGCAAACGAAGTTTGTTCTACCTTTGCGTCTCCCTTGCTTCGCCTAGGTAAATTCTAATTTACAAAATCCTCCTATTCCTTCTTATTCCCATTTCTTTCGTATTTTTATGATTATTTCGTGTTATCAATATAACAATTGTTATTAATAACCTTCAAATCACTCGCCACTTTTATTATTATTTGATCCATAAAGTCACTGTCATTGGTTAAATTGTGGTGAGAGCTGTCTGAGAGCCAAAATTGTGCACCAACCAGTCGCAGGAGACTTAACGTGTGAAAAAACGATTCACAGATATATGGCTTAACTTTCTGAGAAACGGTCGCAAGCAGTACACAATAACCTCCAATCAGAAGACAATCTTACAATCCACTCACACAATAATGTACATAAAAATCTATCAATATCTCTTGATTTTCTCAATAAACGATCTGTTTGTTGCCTGACTTTTGTCTTCAGTCGTTACAAAATTACTTCGTATACATATAAATCTATATAAATTAGTGTAGAGCCTGAAGAAGACGATCTAATTGAAAACAACAATACTGTTCACCTATATATGTCTTGTTCTAACTAACTTTAACACCAGAATGCTCAGGAAGGCTTCGTGCGCTTTCTGAAGTGTATGTGCGGGCGGTTGTTACTTCCCGGTTGACCACACCGTGGAAGTTGAATGATTCTTCGGGTACCTGAAGTAGAAAGCGGGTTAGCGTTGCGTAACCACAAAGCCCAGGGGAAAACTGCTTCAGGCCAGCCGGACACACACGGCCTGTATGAACTGGTTTCTTGGTTTGGTTCCGTATTAGTAAACTTACCGCTGGTTACGGACCACCGTAGGTGAGTTAAGTCGGGATGTACAATTGTTGGGGTCAACCTTTTCTAGCCCCATCTCTCCAGCGAAGTGGAGAGACAGCGTAGCTGGGTTGGCATTCTGGTCATCTGAGGAAAACACCTTACTGCTGTTACACCCCTGATTCCCAGAAGTACGATTTCACCCTCAGAAAACTTCTTACACAATGACGATAACTGCTTTTAGTCTAACTGCTATCCTAACAACCTTTCTGGCACAGTAGGACCTGTAGGAAGAATAGCTCCAGCCAGTGTAGCCTGTTGGGTCATCGTGATATGAGAGCCCGACCACCACGTCAAGGTAGCAGCTATCGGTCGGGATTTTCAATACCAGCATTAGTTCGGAATAACACACGAAAAATAAAGAAATAGATAAAAGATATACGTTGTGTTTCGATAAAAAAAACAATGACCAAGGTCTAGCAAATATGTAGAAATAATAGTAGAGAGAGAGAGAGAGAGAAAGATTAAAGAGCTATGCAAATGCTACAATATTTAACAGAATCACTTCTGTTTCAATCTTTGTTTATGAAAATTCTCAAAGTTTTGATCCAGCACATCATCAAGTTCAGATCTGCCTCGAAAGAATGCAAAATAGATTGCAGTGATCAAGGTGCAAACTATAACAACTTGATATTGATATGGTGGTGTATCTTTTGGCTTGTTAACAAAATTCATAATTGCATGCCATTTTTTATTTGTTGAATAGCGTAATTGTCCATCTGGGAGTGTATTTTCAGGCGTTTTTTGTGTCTGACCAAAGTAGGTACTCAATGAATTACGGTTATTAGTATTATTATTAGCAAGTAGACTTCTCAATGGCTGATTGTTATTGGATAGCGCTTTTATGCGATGAAGTTGAAGCAAACCTCTAAGGCCTAGATTATTCATTTCAAATTGTTATATTAGTTTTCTGTGTGTGACAGCCAATTAAAAATAATAAGCTGAAATGTAAAAATATTATGGGACGACATTTTTTAATTGATTGATAAAATAATGTAAAATTATTAAATGAATTATACATATCCAATTACTAGGTTTAACTGTGAACACTGCGTAGGGTGCCATATATGCACACTGTACGACACCAATGTTAAGAAAAGAAGCAGACAGTCTTTAACCCGTAGTTAAGTTAGCCACTGAACTGACTTGAGTTGAAGAGAATTTAGAATACAGTTTCTACTGACGTTAGTAATACTATTATTATCACTGTTTCCTTTAGTTCCTAGAGGAACACAGGGCTTGAGCCGCACGTCTCCGTTGCGTTCGGTTCTTCGTTAACGTTTCCAACTGGCTCCACGTCTGCTTTCACCTCGTCTTCGCATGACCTCCTCCATATCACCCCACCCTCGGATTGACGACTAGCTATCCGCTTCCTATTCGGGTTCCACTCGACCGATGGCCTGGTGTGTGATGTCACTGACTTGGTGGTTTGTTTTTTCATAGTATGGCCAGTCCACTTCAATTTCTTCCAGCATATTTGTTGGACGATTGGTTCCAGCTGGTTTGGTTCGCTCCCAGAGATCCCTCCCTATTGCTGATCTTTTCTGGTCATCTGATCTTGAGTAGTATTGAACGAAGACAGCTGTTGACGAAGTGCCCTTTGTGACGTGGCGCCAAGTCTCTGATCCATAAAGTAGCACTGACTTCACAGTGGAGTTGAAACTCCGGATCTTATTTTCATTTCCGTGCAGAGTGCTGTTGATCTCCACACAGACTTGAGGGAAATGAAACCTTGCCTTGCTTTCTAGATCCTCGTTGCTTTGATATCCTCATCAGTTCAGTCGGCCTGTAGTTGAAGCGATGCTTGTCAGGTAGGTAGGCAGGTAAAAGAGGTTTCTTCTTTCAGATTTCTCCCATTTAAGCTGGCTAGTTGTTGTCTGTTGTTGTTGCTGTTGACCAGGAGTCTTCATCACCTCTGTTTTCTCTGTGTTCACCTGAAGTCCTATCTTTGATGCTTCTTCTGCCGGCTTGTTGCTTTTCACTTGCATATCTTCCAGTTTGTGGGAAATTAGATATATATCATCGGCGAAGTCCAGACACTCCAAGTTTTTGTGTGGGTCCATTTTATGCCTGTCTCCTCGTTGCTAGCTGTCTGTCTGTCTACTCCAATCGGGAAATTAATCATTAGAAATAGTAGGCAGCCAGTCGGCCTTGTCTTACTCCCGTCCTCACTTCGAAGGATTCCGTTAGTTTCCTGTTGTGGATTACCTGGCATGTAGCATTATCGTACAACTGTTGTATGAGGTGTACACAATTCTTAAAGTTTAAATTATTGACGACTGCTTCATAACTTACATATTCATACAATAAAACCAGAAAAATTACAAAAGATAAGTTTCGAAACCTCGGAAGTATAACTTCATACACTTATTTTCTTAATCTTTTCACTAGTTTCTCCATCACAACTAAATATTTTTGTTAAATGTTCAGTTATAAGTCAGCAAATTTTTTTCAAAATCACTTCTGAACCCTTACCACCATTAAAGTCATCCAAATTATATTTATTGTGAGCACACCAATTTTTCTAAACAATAATTGGCGTTATCTTATAGTTATTAACACCACACCACAAACTACTCACTACACGATGTGATTTTACTGATTTAATGCATAATGAATCAATCTTCAACCATTCCTAAGATATTTTTACCTTACTATATACATCTCTGGTGAGGTCAAGACTGGAAAACTGTATCCAGGTAGCCAGTCCTTGTCTTAAAGGGGACTCACATATTCTAGAAAGGGTCTAAAGGAAGGCAACACGTATGATACTCTGCATAACTAACTTATCATCCGAGGAAAGACTAGACAGTTTAAATCTCTTCTCACTGTCATGCCGTAAACAGAGAGGAGATTTAATTACAATGTTTAAAAATTTAAATAATGACTACGGACCTGACCTATTCTCTCTTTTTCCTCCCAACAAGTCGGAACACTTTAGAGGACATCGGAGGAGAGTTCAAAAGCCAGGAAAAAACCATATTGCCGTGGAGTACTGGTTCTCACACCGAGTATTAAACTCTTGGAAACGACTCCCAGAAGAAGTGGTGTCTGCAACCTCAACTGATTCATTCCAGAAGGGTTTAGACAAGCACAGAAATTTACTAGAAAACGACTAACATAGGCTCCAAGCCTTCCATCCTCAACCAATAAATTTGAATCTGAATTCCCATATAAAATCACCACGCCAACACAGGTTTATTAATAATTCAGGAAGCCATTGACTACATTTTTCTAGGCCCGAGAAGAGACAAATATAGGCCCACATTCAGCTAGAGATTGGTGAATTGCAATAACAATTTAGCCCTATGAACAATAGAAGTAGACCTTAAGTCCTCAACAGGATCACTGTGTGAAAATGACACCGTCACGTACCTCACGACTAGGACGCAAATTAGGGACATATAAACCAGTAATAACACAGGTCGACTCATTAGAATAGCAGTGGTTTGTTCGTGATTTCATAACATTTAATTATTTGTACCAATAAAAACAGACGTAAAACAAGACCAAATTAGTAAACTTACAGTAACCAAGTGAATGCACCAAGTTGGTTACCTTAGGTAAGAAAGTCTGTTAATACATGCAAAATCCTTTAACATACTTACTGGAACTTAAAAGGTAAAGATAACTTTTAACACTTTGTGTAGGGAAAAGAGGAATTATATCAACAACTAACCACCCCCACCCAAAGAAAAATGTTGAAGTGTAGGGGTTTTTTTGGGGGAAATTCTGAGGGTTTCTTTGGAGGGGCGGAGGTCCCAAAAGTGTTACATTTTTCCACTAAGTAACTCCAAAAGAAGCCGAAATTGCTCCTAATTTTTATTTTACTTGGGCGAGCTGGTCCATTGCAGAAACGCCAAGTCCACATCGGATGCGACTAAATTCCCTTACTTTGGGGATGTGATGTTCCTGGCTGGCTAAAACGGTAGCTATGTCATACATAAACCACTGAAATATCATTTGACGGCTTCGAAATTGCCTGCAACGGGCTCGAAGACCAACCCAAAGTTTTTGAAGTGCACTATCAAGTAGGTGGAAATGATTTTTCAATCATATAAGACTGGGAGAGCTGTATGATGCCAATCGACATTAACAATTAACGCAAAAAACACATTATTTATATTTTTTGCACTTTCTTGGAAAAACCCTAAGTGCTATGAAATGAACACAGTGACTCTTGGCGGATATAATATATATTCCGCTTACGGAGATTTTCCAAATGTCTCTGACGCAGGCTAAGCTACCAAGGGACTGGAAGGATGTCATTATAAGCCCTATCTTCAAGGACGGGGATAGGCAATTGGTATCTAACTACAGGCCGGTAAGTCTGACATGCATTATTGCAAAGGTATTGGAAACTATTATAAGGGATCAACTATTAGCTTATGTTGAAACACATGGCTTGTTGTCTGTGGAACAGCGTGGATTCCGACCAGGACGATCCTGCTTGACAAACCTACTTTTGGCTAGGGAAGACTGGGTTGAGGCCAGAGATAGGAACCATCTGTTGGATGTGGTTTTTATTGATCTTAGCAAGGCGTTCGACAAAGTATCCCACTTAGGTCTCCTTAGCAAACTTAAAGGTTTCGGACTAGACCAATGCCTATGTGAGTGGTTTAGAGATTACTTAATGGATAGAAGGCAGGTTAGAGTTAACGGTGTACTATAATGATGGAAAGCAGTATCCAGTGGAGTGCCCCAGGGAACTGTATTAGGTCCATTGCTATTCCTATTATACGTTAACGAATTACCAGGGATTCTTTCTTCATCTTCACTATTATTTGCAGATGACATTAAGATATGGAAAACTGTAAACAATAACGAGGATAGGTCGGCCCTACAAACTGATTTAGATAAATTAGCTGAGTGGTCAAGCCTATGGAGTTTGGAAATGAATGCTAGGAAAGGCGCGGTAATGCACTTAGGTCAGAAGTCTTATGCGTCGTACTCCCTAGGGGACGCAGAACTACCTGATGTTAACGAACAGAAGGACCTAGGAATCATTGTCAGCAATGATTTGAAGACAACTGCAAATTGCAATGCAGCCGCAGCTAAAGCATTTCGAATGCTATGGGCAATTCGAAGGACTTTCAAACGATTAAACGAGGGTATATTCCAAATACTCTACGCAACATATGTCAGGCCTCATCTAGAATACTGCATAAAAGCGACGAGTCCATGCTTCAAAAAGAAGGCACATATTCTGGAAAGAGTACAGAGAGTAGGAACAAAATGAGTTAGCGGTATCTCACACCTTCCTTATGATAGGAGGATGGAGAATTTAAATCTCTTCCCGTTATCATACCGAAGGAAGAGAGGCGACTTGATTTTAGCATACCGTATACTTAAGGGTGATTTAGGAACTGACCTTTCTAACCTTTTCTCCCCTTCTAGGATACATTTACGGGATCACCGCAAAAAGGTGCTCAAACCAAGGACGATTAAAATACGTGCAGAATTTAGATTCTCTCACAGAGTGGTCAACGATTGGAACTCCTTACCTGATTCAGTAGTATCGGCTCCATCGGTGAACGCTTTTAAAGAGAAGTTAGATCCCTGCAGAGATATACTTTGCAAGGATTAACACAGGCCACAAGAGCCTTCTATCCTTGTCATCTGAATCTGGCTCTCAACTATAGCAGCCCAAGAAAACCTAAGGAGTCATGGGAGTCCTCATAGCCAGGTTAAGCCAATTTCAGTATATAAATTCGTCTAATTTATGAATAATTTCCATTCGAACATTAGTAGACAGAAGATAAGTAGTTCAGCGAAGTCTCTTTTCGGCGAAAAGAAATTCGTCTAAGTCATTCATCCGTTCATTAAGTAGTTTCGTTTTAGGCTGCTATAGTTTAGAGCTACCATGTACACATATGATGCATATGAATCTCACAGGTATTCTAACTTATATAATGCCGTATCAGGTACATGAGACAGAAACATACTTTCAGTGGTCAAGGTCACACATTTAACGTAGGCGCCTAACATGACCTTTGACCATTCATTTTCCATGTTTCGGATTTTTCCGTTGAGGATATAAGTAAAATTCTCGTGGAAATAAGAGTATTTGCAGCCCACAAACGGTTTTTTATTGACGCTGTACGCATAAATAGACCTCATATGTTTTCCAGTACTAGAGGTTTATATGCAAATTCCAAGACAACCTCTGTAACATCCATGTTATTGAGGCATATTTCTCCTATTAAGATTACTTGCAGATTAACTTCACACTAAATACGTTTACAGTGAATGAATTATTGCACATGCGTAACTTAGAAAATGGTTCAAAATCTCAGTAATGTCCAGTGGGCATAGCTTTATGAATCCTACAGAAATCGCATTCTCATATCCAGTAAACTATGGTCATCAAATATAAAGTACATACGTCTTAACTCTAAACAGTTATGCAGAGTGTTAACAGGATAGAGAAATACTTAAAATATCGCAAGATACAAAGATCTGTTGTGTTGGTGAGGATAACAATGGCATATAATGCAACCTAAACTTTCAGTCGTGATGAGGCGTCTGTACTGCTTCAAGTTAATGCATATATCAGTATAAATACATCTCCAATACTGTTGATCAAAAATATTGCAACATTAAGCATACACTGTCAGTGGAAATGGTATAACAGACAATAGATTGATAATATTAAAGTTGAATAGATTCACGAGAACTGCAGTTCTCATAAGCACCACGATACATGTGTATAATGATACCGTGTAATGAATTAATGCATTAGGTGTAACAGCAAAGAAATTTAAAGGAGCAATTGCCTTCTCAACTGCACCGCACTTGCAGTAATCATGACAACCACCTACGTTTGCTAGCCTATCAGTCAGCTAAGTAGACAATGGCACAACATTAATACGGTTGATATTCTGAGACATGAAGTCTTCATTTAATGATACTATGCTGAAAGATGCAGCTTCTACATGAAGTAAACGATTTGTGTAAATGACATTACCCTCCAACTATCCTATCTTCCTCATTATACAGATATTTTGATACAGTCCACCTGAAATACTTATCGTTGCGACCAATATACTATGAGTGTATCGCAGTCAGATCACATGACGCGGACGCCAACATAACTAACCAGGAAATGGGAATTCCCATGAATCCAGAAAACATATAACACAATTTTATCAAAAATTATCGACAAAAAATTTTCAAACGAATTTTTGACAGGACGTGGTATATAAGTTCAGTCATAGAAGGTTTGAAGCCCCAAGAACAATTTCGGACTGTGAGATTTGATTTCACTTTAGCTGGTGTGTAGTATTATATTGTCTGACTGGTAGTAAGGGACTGTAGCACGCGGTCAGCTGCAAGGTAATGCCTGCTACTATACGAACAGTCTGGCAGACACTTTTATTATTGGACTGTGTGGTACACCTTTAAAATTTGAAGAGACACCGGTGCGAAAATGGGGATGGTCTGCTTCCAAAAACCCTAACTAGTATGATTCCCGTTGTTTTACTTAACAAAATGCCCGCAATCCTCTTTTTCTATGGTCCAGCAAAGTATCATGTGACAATTTGCATAATAATGAACAAAATATTCATCAGGTCCCAGTTTCTTATTCATTTTAACCTTTCATACCCAAGTATTCTTGTCTATTATGTCATTAAATTGCTTTAAATGGTCGTGTTTTCCCCTCTGCGATTGACTGTCGTAAGATACTTTAACTGAATGTTATTTGGTGGAAATACGAATCTGATCTGTAACAAAGACTGTTAGGTTTGATGAAAAGCGTGCTGTTGATCGGTGCATGCGTATGTGTGTGTGGGGGGGGAACTAGCCTGCTGAGGACCAAGTCCCAATTTTGGAAGTGAGCATGCTTATCTAGGTTCGCCTGTGCGAAGTTACACTTACAGCATATTTGGTCTGTATGGATTGGGAATGCTTACGCCACATTCCGAAGACCGAATGACAAGAATTCTAATAATATGAAAGATATGGTAGTCTCTGTTTTCGATATGCATTCTGGTACCCCAAGGGCTTGATTGTGCACTGCAACCAAGTCAATTTTTGAGAAGACAGCCACACTAGAAAGCGTTGTGGACAAATTGGGCTATTTGGGATAGTCTTGGAGTTAAATCATTAGTGATCATTTGTTAGTCACTATTCTTTGTTATCCTTCTTTGGAAACATATGAATGGGGGACGCCACTGAGCCATTCAGTATTCAAACAACAATACTCAGCACGTGATCGAATTCAACTTTGGACATTCTCAACTTATTGAGAGTTAGTCACCGAGCTTTAAATGTCTCTGAAAATAAATATTTTTGTGCGAACCAAAGTTTTAATAAAAGGTTTACTATTTCTGTATATGCATCAGCCAAATAAACATTTTGGCACAGGAAATTACTGTGTAGTATATAGTTACCGTAGTCTCTAAAATTGTGTGATGAGTGAGTGGTACATCGGAAATTCAACTTTCTCAGAGTAATAAAATCTTTAAAGCTAATAAAATGTTGTAGCGGTTGTAGCGGTAGGTAATTCCTCAGAATTATTTGCTACAGCGCTCATCAATGAACATTGGATTCTGACCCTCACTGTTTAAGTCGACATGTTTAGTTGGAGGCTTACGATAAAGCGTCCGAGCCATTTGGCACACCATGGTGTTACGTTCATCCGTTTGTGCACGATCCATAGCTAATTAAGCAATCATCTTGCATGCCAATTTGGTCCCGAAATATACGTCATAATTTGGATGATCAAATGGGGTGGTTTGCTTTGCTACTTGTATACGTGGAACGAATACTCTGGAAGTTGTGGGTGTTGGAAGACAGAAAACTATCAGAAACCTTGTGTATAATAACCTTATTGTTGGTTACATATTGGCGTAAGAATGAGGGATTCTCGAGGCGCCAATCCGCGTTCTGGTTTTTCGCGTAGGTTATTACAAATTGTTTCTGAAAGCCTTCGAGGGTCAGCGTGAGGCCCAGCGCAGTAAGAGCTGGACATTGACAGTTTCTGGGAGTTGGCTGACAGAGTGTGCGCGTTGATGTTCTATATACTTGTGTTTTTAAATTTCCTGTGTTAGTTCTCTTGATTGAGACAACGGCTGCCAGGTTGATGAAATCCTGAAGCCAATCAAATCCCTGCAAACCAGCACTTGAGTATTAGTCTCATGCTAATTAGTCACTGGCCCTATTCAAATAGGTAGTAACCTGGGTTCTAGTGGGACGTTGTGACTAAAGGGATGCAGCAGATGACGACAGATACTCGTCAGTGGTGACACTGGTTAATAGTCGAGACTTATGGTGAATTGACAGAAGTTGGAGTTAAAGAAGTGGCCATTGGATTGGCAGGCCCCAGTGGATTAATGGTCCACGAGCTCACTCGCCTCCTAATCGGAGGGTTGTGTGTTTGAACCGTGGCAGTAGGGTGGGTGGGTATTGCTAAAAAGTTCCAGACTATGATGAAACAACTGTCCAGTGTTGGTTTCCAATGATTCTCTAACAGATGTCAGTTCATGTTGAAATCCTGAAAATAAAAAATTTTACTCTTAAACACTGGGTTTTTTCAGGGATTTGGATTGATCTAAATATAGATTTTCTCATGTTATTATTTGTGATAGATGGATGGATGCACTTCTGAAGTTGTAATGTGAAGTCATAGTCAGTAGGATCCGCCATGTCAAGTGAAACGGATGCTCATGCTTGGCACTGATTGACAACAGTTCTAGTTGACAAAAAGAGAGAGGTTCGAATTCACGAGTCACTGATATCCCATTCGGTGGCTGAGTGATCAATAAACAGGTCTCGCAACCTGACGGTCTCGGGTTAGGCCTGTGGTGGAGTCGTCCGTGAACACTGAGGAAGAATAACAAATCAGGATGAAATGGCTGGCATATGCCCGAAAGTATCTTATGACTGTCAAACCGATGTTAGTTACTGACAAAATCTGCCATAAAATACGCTTTCAGTAGGATGTGTTCAAAATTTCCTGCCAAATTTAATACAAAAAGAGAACAAGAAAGGTCAGTCTTATGACAAGAAATATAAATGTACCAGGAAACATGGCCACATCAACATTATTTCTAGGTGGGGTAAAAAAACAGAAAAAATTATCAGCCATAGAGATATGAAAGCAACTGATATGAAATCACAACGGTACTGGATGCACCGCATTTAACTCAGCCACAATGTGGACCCCAGATTTTATCAAGCTGGTATCTTCGCGAATCCGGCTGAGTCGCTGATATTCTTCACCAATGTCTTTCACTGTCACTTGTGGGTCGTATCCACGTTTGTTCAACGACCGAGTCCTTATGTCTACGAACCTGAATGGGTGCAGACCACAGGAATGAAGATGGGGACCGTGAATTAATCGTCTGTCAGCACCATTAACTTGAATCGTCCACATTGGTGGTTGACAATACCAAGCTGAGTGTGAGTGTCGTCGTTCGTTTGGTGCAGCACAAGTTTCATTCAGTGGAATGGAATGTTGAACAACGAACAATCTGTGGTGACTAGACTGCTGACGGAGCGTTTGGACAGTCTCATGAAATGTTCTGTCGCTTGGCTTCTGTGTGAGAATCAGGTTGCAGTATTTATCGAATTCAATTCAGCGTCACTCAACTTCCGCAGTCACAGTCTCATTTTCCATGCGTCGTCTTTGCTCGCGAAGTCCATTCCAAATAGGTGTTCGTAGCTGCAGAACCAAGTGTCGAATGTGAGCTTTGCATCTGGGTCACACACACACACACAAACTGAGAAATGCTGCCACCAATATTGTCATTAGCTGGAGATGAAGCATCACAGGATGACATCCGTAGACCTGCAAGCAACTCCATCACATTTGCTAGCTGATCTATCACTTTCTCTAAGCGTGAAGCCTACATTTCCACTTTATGCCCGTCACCAATTTCCACATGACCGTGATTACACTTGTAGTTGAGCCGACGAATTTACCACAGAAGTCGATTCGCCAGCCTATTGTTCTATCCGCCATTAGCACTAACAACACGATACGATACCAGCGAAAACGCGACTCAAGAAGACCAG